ACATTTGTGATTGACTTTCAGGATTCTTCTTCAGGGTCATTGACGACACCAGCTCCGGATCACCTTTCGAAAACTTTTTATCAAACGCCTGTTATTCTTGAACGTAGGCCACAAACTTCCGGAGCTTCAACTTTACAAGCTTCGGATAAGTGTGAGGAAGAAAGTTCTCCACAAACAATACTTCATCAGTCTGTTCGTATATTTCGCGACGATTCTTTTAATCGCGCATCTTCAGCCAACGCACCACGCGTAGAGACTAAGCAAATGACTTTTAAAGGAAAGCCATTCGACAAACCTTTTGTAAAAATGATCAATGAGAAGGGAGTACTTAACCATGATTCTGTCTTAAAGGTTAGCATATGAAGAAATATTGGATTATGAAGTAGATAGTTCTAACAAAGGACTATTTATTGATATATCAAAAGATTTTAAGTGATCTTCCGGGTCATTTCGTTGTTGGAGTATGTGGACCTCAAGGAGTTGGAAAATCTACTGTTATATCTGCATTATGTCAAGATCCGCAGAATGTATGACCAAATACTTTTTGATTCTTGAATTTTAAAATTTTTGATCGATGGAGGAAAATAATGATTTTACTTTCTATATTAGACTTTCCCTACACAATCAATCGAGACATTGAATTTAGCCAGTCATGAAACTACAGGTATTGATGTTCATATCACACCTGAAAGGATCATACTTTTGGATACTCAGGTATAATGTTGGAGTAATTTTTATATTTTAAAAAATAATGTAAATTACTTCTAAAGCTTCTTTATTTCCAGCCCGTTTTTAGTCTATCTGTTCTCGAACATGCGATGAGGAATGACTACATTCCCGATAATATATCACCAGAATTATGGCTTGAATTACAGGTTAGTGGTTTTTTTTTTTTTTTTTAATTACTTGAATTATTACATAAAACTTCGATTTAGAATTTCATACTTATATATAAGACTTTTTTGGTTAGTCACTTCAAACTGTTATCTTTCTTCTTTCGGTTTGCAACGTTGTTATTACTGTCACTGAGAGTATAGATTATACAATGTGGAATTTTTTAAAAAAAGCCGAAATGTTAAAATATCATATACCAGAGTTTCCAACTATACCATCATTAGCGTCTGTGGACCCTGGTATCGAATATTATCCTGATATCGGTAATTATTTTTTCATCAATTATTACTATTTATTATTTTATTTACGGTGTTTCTCTTGATGATACTTTATGTACACAGTATTGGTATGTAATAAAACTTCGCCCGCCGATTTCACATCAACTAAACATACGTCTATCTGTGATTTGTTGAATAATATGTTTCAAGATTCGAATTTGAAAATTTTTGGTAATATGATATATTACAGCTTAATATTTAAATTTATAACTTATATATTTCATTTTGATTAGGAACTGTTTCCATGACTAAGTCATTGGCCATGTACAAATATCCAGATAATAAAAGATTACCAAACGTTTTCCTTTTGCCATATGAGAATCAGCCCCTTCGTCCTAAAGGGGAGTATATTGGATTTACTTATTTAAATGCACCTGATACATTTAACGTCTTGGCAGAATCTATGAGAAATCAAATATTCCAATTGCCTAAGAAGGCCGGTAAAAAAGGCCAGGTGTCTGAAAAAGAATGGTATTATTAATATTGAATATTTATTTATAAATTTTGTCGGTACGATTACATCAATTTTTAAATTTTATATTTCTTGATATCAGGTTCCGAAGCTCAATGAGAATTTGGGATATCATTCGTAAATCCGAATTTATTACTGAATATGGAAAACTTGCGGCAAAGTTGAGAGAGATGTGATTATTATACTTTTCCACATTGATTCGTGGAATTAAAAGTGTGTTTTTTACTTAAATAGTGGAGATGCAAACGGCTGACTCGGCTCGGATCACAGCTTACATTAGTCAAGCTGAACTGATTATTTGGCTCTACAGGCTAGAGTCGAGCCATTCGTGAGCTGAACAACCTCAAATAGAGCTAATCTGAGCATGATAGAAGTTTGTTTTGATTGGCTAATCAGCAAGAACTCTGATTTGTCAAAATTAAAAGGATTTACCTGGTATATTAAACTTTTATAGTATTTCGTGAAATGATTTATTTTTAATCGCCTTAATCCTGCTCATGTGAAGTTCGAAACATTTTATTCGAAAGAATATATTATTTTTATTAGTTTTTATTCTCTAAAGTTAAAAATTCATAATACTATTATCGTCTTTTTCGGCATTGTCAGAATCGCTTCCAATAAAGTTGTTAGAACGCTTAATTTAAAACGTTTATATGAAAGTTAAGCTTCGGTGTATGAAAGTTGATGGCTTTGATTATAAAAAACTCGTGTAACTATATTTTGTCAACACAATCAAAAACGAACTTTTAAACTAAATTGGCCAATCAGATATCATCAAAACAACGAATACCTATATGCGCGATTTTTTAATTTTTTAAAATAATAAAAAATTATATTGTATTAGGATTAATGTTATTATTGCAACGAGGTTACCCTATATTAAAACTTAGCTAGGAATCTTTTTGTTGCTGGTGCATAGTAGGTGGTTTCATAGACAAAAATTGAGTTGCAGTTTATTAAAAAATGCGTGATGTTATACCTGATCATTGTGGCCCAATTTAAAGAAGTTATTAAGTAGCTTCCTCGCTACTTTTGAGTAGCATTTTTCAATGATCTCTTAAATTCTTCACAGAATCTTCATTTTCTGCTTTTATCTTTCAAAATGTTTTTTTATAAACATATTGCGATTAAATGAACTAAACTTGTGGTTACTACCTTATTTATCAAAATCCCGAAGTAACATTACGGAGGGACATCATATGGATGATCTAAAAACAATTATAGGGTTTCCGGGATCATATGAGTACTGCAAGGGAACTCTTAATTTTCGGAAACTCCGCTTTAGGGAAATACAGTGGGACATCTTAAAATAGCTGGTTTTTAAATTGCATCACAAAAATAGCTATTATAGCTAGAACAATTATAAAAATATAAAGACCAGAAGAATAAATTACAGAATTATTTTTTTTAATTTATTATTAAAGTTAAATACTAAAAAAAAATTTTAAAATTAATAACTATTTTTACTAATAAAATAAAAATTTGGCAACCATACTTCTGGTAAAGTTATTATAATTCTGGCCAAGCTTATTATAATTCTGACCAGAATTATGAAACTTATTTTTATTTTATCAAAAAGATTAATTTATACTATATTAGCCAATCATATGGCTTGATTTTTGCATAAAGTTACACATGGCCATAAAATTTGGCCACTATTTTTTATGCGCTGTAGATATTAAATTCTTATCGGTATAAGCTGAAAATGAAATTCAGAAAACTAACAATTCTAGGTTTTCGCTCATATTTCTAATATTTTCCACAATGGTCATACGTGATTGCACAGTTTTTGCCACGCAGCATTGGAGTGGCCTGTCAACTAAGTAAATCAAAACTATATGTGGTCACTAATATTTGAGCATACAGCATTTTTTTATTGAGTAACATATATATAATAAATGTACTTTTTTTTAGATGCACAGATTACAATCTTCTTTTTTAATAGAAAATTTTAACGTCAATTGGCTCTTTTCTATCCCATTAACAAAGTTACAGAGCCATTTTTTACTTTACAAGATAACTCGAACGAAATTTAAACTGCCAGTAGATTTTTTTTTTAATTATTATAAAATTTGGCTCTGTAACTTGGATTGTAGAAACCTTGTTTAAATTTTAGGATTCTACCTTTTAATTGTAAAGGCCCTGCATCTAAATCATTGTCGCCAATATAAATAATATCTAATACTGTTGTAATAATGAAAATAATATTATATGTATAATTTTGATTTAGTTGACAGACATGCAGCAATTGTTATTAACAAATAAGTTTACCGAAAGACGTACTTACGCAATCAATAAACATCCGAGTTAGCTTAAATTGGTTTACCTTTTTTTTTTTTTTTACATATAATGATAATTCCTTTTACGGTATAGAAATAAATATGTTATTTCAATTTTTAGTTGGATTGATTCTTTTTCAGGTAAGCACAAAAAGCTGGAACTATTTCTAAATAAAGCGTTTTTTTTTTTTTTTTTTGATCGGTGGTTATATTTTATTAATAAATAAATATCTTGGTATGGTGTTTCAAGTCATTTCTCATCAAATGTACACATATTATTAAGGCGCCAATTTTATACTAACTTTTAAAATTAGATCTTCTGTAATTAGGGTTGGTATAATAAATTATATTAATACCGTCGTATAATTGCCGTATAATATAATACCAAGCAAGACAGCAAGAGCATAGGCATAGCGGGCTTTATTATGATTGACAGATTTTTGAAGACCATCTTATCATACTGTCATAAGAAAGGTCAGGAATACGTTTGGACCATAAATTGAGAGTAGTTAGAATTGAGATTAAAATCCGGTTGTACCGGTATTACTTTATTACAGTAGTTAACTGATATATAATTAAAACTTTTTTTTTAATACGTTTTTATTGCCTTCTTTAATAAGATTAGCGTTTTTATTTCTTTCGCGGGGTTTTTTTTCTTTTTAAATTCGAATAGTTTTACCGAGATGATGATGGTTTTGAGTTGTAGTTATATTTTGTAGTATTACAGTATTGATTATTCATGTAATAATCTTGCGATTAATCAATAATATTTTCCATGTCTACAAAATGAAAGCCCGCATACAATACCGGGCAAAAATTGTCGAATAACGGTAATTTGCCATAGATACCGGCTGTTTTAATTTAAATAAACTTGTTTACATGAAAAAATAACAAAAAGAAATAATTTCATGATCTGCCAGATAATAGTTTATTTATATATCTTTGATTTCTTATTGATTCCCTATCTATATAATACAGTAAATCATGCGCCAATTTTATAGGTTGATGATAAATAACTTGTGCACCGTAAAAAATTATTATTCACATAATAAAAGATGAGCACCTCTTATAATGAGGGCGCGTGTGGTTTAGTGGTATAATTGCCGCCTGCCACGCGGCAGACCCGGGTTCAATTCCCGGCGCGCGCAGGTCAAAATTTTTTTTTATTACTTTAATATTAAGTCAAATTTTGATTGGTTGAGGTAAAGATCTTTTTTTTTATATTGTCAATTGTAATTTTTAAAGTACTTTTAATAAGTAAAGAAAGATACGACATATAAAATTTTTTTTTCTGTAATACCTAAATATTACGACGACTTAACATATCGTTTTTTACTTTTAAATCTACTGTTTTTTAACAACTGATGCAATAAGCAATTAGTAAGTGAAAGTTGCTCAACTATGTAGTTCTACATTGTTTTCTATAAAAAGTACTACATAATATTCCAAACTCTACCTTTTTATTATAAATACAACGTTTTATAGTAGCAATGTTTAGAAATGTTTGTGTATGTTATTTTGAGTATTTGTTGTGAAATGAAATAATATTGTATACATTGTGAAATATGAATAGTCATGATCCCAAATTAATGTATTGTAAGACTATAATACGCACCTCGGAGAATGATCTACATTTTTTCCGGGGTATTTTAACAACCAATCAAAATAAACTTTCACTATGCTTCACTTGACACGTGACTATGCTCTATCGGCGTTTAAAACAAGAATTTTTTTATTACTCAAATATTAGAATGGGATTATTTAATATTTTAAATTAATAGCTTATGTTAGAGATAAACATTTTTTAAAATGAAAAATTTTATATAAAAAATCTGCAACGACAGAAAGTTAACATAGTGCTACATAAATAAAACATAATTACAAGCACAAACTAGTGATAAAATACATTATCATACATACTAATAATAATAACCGTTCCAAAATTAAATATATAACAATTGTTACATGAAGTAAATAAGAAAAGTGGGAAAAAAGTGAATACTGCTCATTTTTCTTAATTACGAGATTTATATATTGTGTGACAGTGGTTTTTAATTTTGCTTAATTCACAGACCGAACATTCTCTAACTCCATCCCATTTTCATTCTGTCACTATATTTCTGGTGTTATTCCTCCCTTCGTTTCGTGATGAAAAATACCCTCTAAACAATCTACCCATTCTCAACATTACATTCGAATTGTTATCATTCATTGAGTTCTGATTGGTTACCGACTGAGTAGCTTGTCTTTCATTCTCAATATTAACAGATATTGAAGTGTTTCCAACAATAGAGGGTTTGCAGTCTTTTTTACATAAAGGACAAGAACTACTTTTTGTTGTCAACCAAGGATCAATACATTCAACATGATAACAATGATGGCATGGTAATTCACGTATCTTATCACCATCTTCAAAATCTTCGAGACATATAGCACATGTTTCTTCCAACGTCACATCATTATCTGAAACTACAGGATTTTGTGTTGAATCTGTTGATGTGTATAGAGAGACGGCATTACTTATCGCTTTTTGAGAACGTGTGGATTTGGTGGATCTGGTGGACCTGGTGGATCGCACAGATGATTTATGACTTAATGATCGAGATTCAATGGATGATTCTTTAGCATCTACGTCACCATTAGGCTTATCACCTGAATTTTTTTCATCAACTTCTTTAATTGTAGCAGAATTTTTTTCATCAACTTCATTAATCGTAGCAGAATTTTTTTCATCGACTTCAATAATTGTAGCAGAATTTTTTTCATCAACTTCATAATTAATCGTAGCAGAATTATCTTTGTCATCAATTTTTGCTGATGTTTTCTTTGAATAAATAAAAACTCGTAATAAATCAATATCTTCTTGATCCAATGTCCATTTTCTCATTCCTGTAATATCATCTGCTGCTCTTTGTCGTCTTATTTCTTCTTGATGATTCCTTCTTAAACGATAAAGTCTCATATGAATCAAAATAGAAATGAAAAAGGATGTCACCAAGATACCACCAACGGCAAACATTGCAAAAAGCCATGAATTGACGGGAACGGGTTGAGCTGTTCCTAACGTGACACGTAAAGCTGTTAGATTATTTGATTTATTTCTATTTATATTAGAAAGATTTCTTAACTCATTTAACAACTTATGATCAGAATCTACAACAGTAAATACAAGTAAATTTATGTTGGTAATATTGTCGTACTTGTTATTGTCAGATGTTGTTAGATAAATGATAAGCCCAGCGTCAGCATCGTTAATAGAATTGTTTATTTTTTCGTCAATCGTACAATTGTTTAATGAAACCAATCCTATGGTACGAATTCCTGAAGGAAAATTTGTCTTATTCAAGTTAGAATTACAGCCATCTCCACGATCATACAAAAGTCCTTTAATGTTGTTATTCCCACTCTTGTAGTCTCCTAGTTGATTCACCAGCCCTTTGTCAAAAGATAAAACGTCATCGCTACCAGAATCGTTTGAAATTTGAGAGTTTGTTGTACTATTATCAATATTATATACATAGTCAGCAGAAATACTTGCAGTTGCTCCCGATGTTTTCATTACTTGATGTGTGGTAGCAAAATACAATACACTAATTAAAGCTACGAGAAATATTAAAGTTCCATATCTGACAACAGAGCTTGTAATTACTAAACTTGTGAATCTCGACAGCCATGAATTTTGTCCTTGTTGCTGTGTTGGTGGCGGCATGATTTCGTATAATTTCCAAGGTATTTTTTCACGTTATTGGCAATTTTTGCTAAATGACTATTCCAAACGCATACTAAACATAAAAAGTCTTAATACAACATACTTATCATCCGCATGCGATGAAAAAAAATCATTTACTTCAGGACTTTTGTACTTTTTCGACAAAAGGAGCGATATTTCCCAAATGACATCGTTAGTATCACGACTTCTTACAAAATCACCGATCGTTGCCATAACGAGATTTAATATATGATAATGGTCCAATTTTTGTGTAACTATAACACGGCATTGTAGAAAATGCATTCACTTTTATAGAAAATTAACTTTGACGATTTCTAATACCTGCTGACCAATCTTTTTTTTTGAATTTGTGAGTTTTGTGTATTTTGTATCAGATAAAATATGTACTACGCTTATTGTATACAAACTTGGTTATTAAAGACCGTCACGGATGATGCTGAAATCGGATGATGCTGAAATTAATACCTGATTTTTTTAAATTTTTTTTAGCCTTTTTTTTATGTTTGGTTAGGGCTCATCCACGACAGATACTAAAAAAAATTTATTTATTAAAAGGCTGAAAATTTTTCAGGTCATTTGCCAAGTTTTCTGTCACTTGCCCATGGTTTCAAGTATTCTTCTTGACGAGATGACTAAAAATAATATAAATTGTGACGGCTAAATTTGGCTGATGCAACTACCCCAAGAACACCTCCAAAAATTCTGCGCAACAAATCAGATTTCAAGATCAGGTGTAACGTTACACGATCAGGAAAATTCAAAACAAATGTTCGCTTTGTCAAAAATCGCATATTTCTTGAAAAGCCGCATAAGAAACCACCTTTCATATTCTAACAAAAAAAATTCCGCATCAAATTTTAGTATATATTCTGCTTTCTAACCTTGCCCTAACCTTACCCTAACTCTAACTCAATGTCTCTAACTTAATGTTAAAAGCTTATTACTCTTAAATTCGATTGTTTTGACTTCACGTTACACCTGATCTCCAATTCTGATTGGTTAATTTTTGGAGGTGTTCTTGGGGTAGTTGGCTGATGCTGAATATCCCGTGACATTTCGGGTCGGAGTTTGCAAATCGTATTATGTGTCGATCGTGTAAACAACTCCATTCGGGCCGGTTCGAGTATCCTAGCCATGGCAAAAAATTCAGGTCATGTGATGATCCGCAGTAAATTAGCCAATAAGGATTTCCAATTTGGTGTAACGTAACATGATCAGGAAAAATTCAAAACAAACGTTCGCTATAAAGAAAATTAGAAGAAATCGCTTATTTCTCGACAAACTCATAAGAAACAACCTTCTGCACACTAACAAAAAATGTCGGGGAGATAATTTTACCTATATGATTCTCTAACCATGATCCTGTTCCTAACCCTAACCCTATTTTTTTTTTTAAAGCGCTAACCCTAACCCTAATCTAAATAAAAAAAAGATTTTTATCGGTTATCACGTGACCGAACTTACTCTAATATTCGTATCTAGCAGTCAGATTATCACTAAAAGCACATGCTAACATTAGGGGCATGTTACTACTAAAATTTCGGTAGATAGGTAAGTTTAAGTGATTTATTTCAATAAAGTTATGCGATACTAAAAATGCTAGCTAGATCCTTCTACCAAGTCTTAACGTTGACCCTAACCTAACTCTAATGCCGTCACTATCTCTTTTTTTTATTTTACTTTTCTCCTCGATTTTCTCTCTTCGGCTCCCTTTTTTTCGATGCTTCTCTTTTCTTCTATTTCCTTTTTTCTTTCTTCCCTTTTTTATTCGTTTCCATTTTCTTTTCTTTAATTCAGTCGATTATTTTCGATTTTTTTTTCTTTTTTTTTGTTTTTTGTTTCTTTTTTCTTCTTTGAATTCTGTCGATTATTTTCGAAATTTTTTTCCTTTTTTTTTTCTTTTTCTTTTTTTTCATTTTTCTTTGTTTTTTTTTACTTTTTTTTTTTAAATGACTTTGATTCTACTAACAGGAAGTCGGACCTCCTTGCCGTCTACTTCTATAATCGCTGTGCGATTGTTGGATGTCAATGCTTTGAACACACCTTGTTGTGAAAACGTTGGCTGAAGCTTTCGTTTTCGCGTTTGTTGATTCGTGTCATAATCCGGTGCAATAGCAACCGTCGTCCCAGCTTCAATTGTATTGTTTTGCGACTTTTATTTATGAACGCTATCCTTTTTATACATCTTATCCCGAGATTTCTCTAGTGATGAATTGACGGATTGATGAATTTGCAATGCGCGCGAAAGATGTTGGTCGACAATCTCAGACGTAACATCAACATCGTTACAATCAACCTCTTTATGAAGATTTTGCAATTCATTGGGAGTATCATAAACACAGTGCATTTTCCAACCAAACATCACCTGGTGTGGCGTACGACCATGTGCTTCATGTGTGGAAGAATTATATGATACAA